ACTTTTGTCATTTGAGTTGCACGTCCTTAATTATCATTGTTTCTTCAGTCTACATATTAGTGTGTTATATCTTAGTTGATGACAGAAGTACAAGTTCCATTCTGGTGAAAGTCACCAGTACAGATATCTGTACCTTGTACGGAACTCTCCCACACATGCTGTTACTTTTGTCATTTGAGTTGCACGTCCTTAATTATCATTGTTTCTTCAGTCTACATATTAGTGTGTTATATCTTAGTTGATGACAGAAGTACAAGTTCCATTCTGGTGAAAGTCACCAGTACAGATATCTGTACCTTGTACGGAACTCTCCCACACATGCTGTTACTTTTGTCATTTGAGTTGCACGTCCTTAATTATCATTGTTTCTTCAGTCTACATATTAGTGTGTTATATCTTAGTTGATGACAGAAGTACAAGTTCCATTCTGGTGACAGTCACCAGTACAGATATCTGTACCTTGTACGGAACTCTCCCACACATGCTGTTACTTTTGTCATTTGAGTTGCACATCCTTAATTATCATTGTTTCTTCACCTACATATTAGTGTGTTATATCTTAGTTGATGACAGAAGTACAAGTTCCATTCTGGTGACAGTCACCAGTACAGATATCTGTACCTTGTACGGAACTCTCCCACACATGCTGTTACTTTTGTCATTTGAGTTGCACATCCTTAATTATCATTGTTTCTTCAGCCTACATATTAGTGTGTTATATCTTAGTTGAATCCATTATGTCTTTTACTTTTAGGTTTTATTCATAGCGGATTGGAAAAAACCACCGGACAGAAACTGCTTACCCGTTGGTACTTACACAACGTGTGAAGTAGAGCTCCAGTTGGAGAATCAAGCTGTGTAGACAGTTCTGCTCATGATTGTGATAATGTTCCTATAGGTATTAATGAATTAGTTGCTTTTCTAACAATAATGTGTAAAATAAGTTTAACTTACAGACGTAATAGAAAATATCTGAAGTTACCGTGCTCTTAATAATTAACTCTTCATTAGATTCTCTCTTCTGATACCAAGATAATATAATTGGTACTTGATGAAATTACAGAATTGAGGAAAACAAAGATAAAACTGTACGTTTCACTGATACTTCATTTTTACTGAACGTGGTTTCATCATTAAAGACATCATCAGTACAGCTGTAATTGTAAAACCATGGTAATAATAAATCAAATAGTATCTTTGTTTTCATCTATTTTACAACCAAGATAATAGCTTGTTTCAGAAACTCAAATATGCTTGCTAAGGCTGTTTTTACATAGGTCATAGCTACCTTGTTTTTTGTTGTTTTTACAGTGATTATTACTTTTCAACAGGCATTATTACTTTGGATCATTTAGTAAATGTCAGAATATGTTAGATAAGTAAAAGACTTTAATTATCAATGAGTATTTGACTTTAAATACCATATTAGGTTTACCTGAATGATGGGTATTATAGTAATGCTAGAGGTTTTTTATTCGAATCAATACTTAGGAGGACTGTTGATTTATTTAATTACTTCTTTTAAATAAATATGTGATAATTGAATTACTGGTAGGTTTATATAGTACAAATTAATTATATTTTTATAATTATAATGTTAAAACTTGTAGTCATGATTAATATTGTATACATGGTATAAAGAAAATAAAACATTCATCCAAGCTGATTACATATTGGATTATCACCCAATTATTTAATATTTCTTGTTTATCTACACGGATAGAATTTCTTTAAAGAAATACATGTCAAAACTATTTGCATTAGGGAAAAAAAAACTGATTGAATATCATGATTATTTGGGATAGCAGGTGTTCCTTTTAAAGAGCTTCAGTGTTATGAATTTTTACTTGTAGTACAATGTTGACAAGATTATCTGTCATTGATAATGATCTTGGTTTATTTCAGACTCTAAGTCTTAAAGATTACCATGAGATTCTAAGTTAACTGAATTTTTTATCTCGCATGGTTATGTACACTATCCTACCAAAAGTCATGGGATACGGGTAGTTATGAATAAAACGTCTTTATTCCAAGAAATTAATAGCATTTTGGCCTTAATGACTGCTTCAATACATCATGGAAGACTGTTTACTAATCAATGGTCAAAAGCTGGTGGTTTTGTTCTCCACTCCTCCTTTAAAGCATTAGTAAGCTCCATTACTGAAGAAGGCTGTCTCGGCCTTGCCCAAATTCTGCATTCCAGTTTATCCCAAAGATGTTCTGTCGGGTTGAGGTCAGGGCTCTGTGCTGGCCACTGCAATGTTCCAATATTATTCTCTTCAAACCACACATTTACAATCCTTCCTTTGTGACATGGAGTGTTATCATGTTGGAAGGTGTAAGGGCCTGTACCATGAAATTACCACAATGTAGGACACACAGAATTGTTCAGAACATCAATACAGGACTCAACATTCATGGATCCATGCACTGCGACCAATGGATCTAGTCCATTCCATGAGAAGCACCCCCACCTCCAAACTTCACTGTTGGGACAACACATTCATGTAATAAGTGTTCTCCAGACATCCTACACACCTAAACACGTCCATCAGACTGGAAGAGTGTGTAGCATGACTTGTCGCTGTTAGGACAACACATTCATGTAATAAGTGTTCTCCAGACATCCTACATACCTAAACACGTCCATCAGACTGGAAGAGAGTGTAGCGTGACTCGTTGCTCCACAGGACCGATTTCCATTGATCCACAGTTCAGGTTCAGTGTGCCTTGTCCCATGCCAATCGATGGCATGCATTTATTTTTGTTATAAACGGCTTGTGGGCTGCAGCTCTTCCGTGAAAATTCATGGCATGCAGCTATCAACGTGTCATAGAAACACTTATAGGATTGCCTGTGGCTGCTCACATCTCCAAACATAGATTCTCTAGATTCTGATGGGCAGATGAGGTAACCAACCTTCTCAAGGTGCATCGACTCCTGTCAGTCAGTATTTTACACCTACCTGGTCGTTTCTTGGGCTCATTGTCACCTGTGGACTTCCATTTCTTCAGCACGTTGCCAATTGTCAACCTGGGAATGTTTAATTTTTGCACAATAGCACATACAGACATTTTACTCTTTCCATGTATCGTTCGGCGTAGAAGTTCGAAATGACTACCGAGCAAATCGCTGATCACCTTTATAGACCAAACTAGTTTCATATTATGCTGTCACACCCATTTACCTGCTATCAGAGGTGTCCCATAACTTTTGGTAGGATAGTGTATAATGCTTAACATAACCTCCGGTGTTGGAGCTGATCCAAAAAATTCTAGCTATTTGGTTAATTTTTTGTAGCATAGATCAAAATTTATGTAGCTAAAGTTGGTTAAGTAAAGAAAGATAATTTTGCTTTTTATTTATGTCACCATTTTAATACAATAATCACTGCAATTTGACCAACAAAATAGAAAAAATAATTATATGAAAAAACAATTAGCATATTTACTTCATAACTATAACCTTCTCATTGATTTCGACCTTTACACTTCAACTTGATTTTACAATATTACATACAATTCCAGAGACTAATTGAAGCTATATATATAGTGTTTTTCATCAAAATGTCTTTGCTAATATTTTTACATTATTATGGGAATGTTATTAATTCTTGAACCAAACTTATTTGAACCTCAATTCTAAAATTCATAACTTGAAATGTAATTTCCAGGGTTTGATATAAAGTCTGTTACTCAACACTAATAACCTAAAATGCTATTTTAAAAATACTGTTGCGTCATCGAGGTCACGTGACTGGTGTGGCGCCACCTATTTTCTAGAACTATCCTGTACCTTGGCGAATGCTCTAGTATTTACTAGGTATAGGGTATTCTGGTATATAAAAGAGAGTGACAACGTAACGGAAAGGATGTAATGTGTGTGAAGATAGGGAGTAATTGAACTGCAGTCACAGGGTATTGTTGAAGTTAACGTTCGTTCGTTATAGTGTTTGTTTTAGCGCGAATATTGAAATTAAGTGTATCGTAAAGTTGTATTCGGAAAGAATAAACCAGTTTTATTAAATAAGGACTTGTGTCGCTAAAGTTTCGTCGGAAAATTAACTAACGAACGGAGACGTAACAATATTATGTCCAGTGAAAAGATAGAAAAAAATGATCTAACACGGTGTGTGGACTTGCTAGTTTGACAACAGACAGTCACTTTTACTGGAGAGTAAGCAATTTTCTATCCAAACTGTGTCATTCGAGATTGTACATTTGACTATTTTAAACCTAGCATTACTTACTTGACTCAATAATTTTAGACTTACCCAGAGCAACTAGTGCTACCAACATGACTAGTCATTTCCAGTTTAAACATAAGAGAGGTCGTAACTTTAAAGTATCACCAGATCTGCCATTGGAGGACACTGCTGTCAACCTTAATTCGTACATAATGTAAAACATTCTAGCCATACCTCCTATGAGCAGAGCAGATGTTACCTTAAGAGAATGACAAAGAATAAAGGCAGCTAGAATAAAAGCAACTTAAAGACTTTTTGACCACGTTTTATGAGAAAGCTGCATATATGCAGAATATATCTGAGTAGTTCCAAAAAAATGTTAAAATAAGGAGGTAAAAAATGCATGGTATTCTTATATACCATGCACTTATACATCAATTTTGCAGCATTGTTGATTGTTTTTGTAGCTAACCGACCTTTCAAGTTGTTAAAGTGAAAAGAATAAAAAGAATTCAAAAGTTGGATTTTATTTTATAAGAAGACGTCATGGCCTTTAGATGTTGGGATTTTGTTTGAGTAATCTTATTTTGAGAGCTATTCTTAGTTTACAATATAATAGAAAAACCCAGTAAAATGAAAGCTAGCCGCAATTTTGATAACAGCTTATGAAATAATTATTGGGAATTTTGATAGATGGATATCCATTTTGAAAGTTTTACATCTAGAACATCTTTGTATTGAAATATGAAGAAAAACAATTTTTTTTCAAAATTTGGCCAAAAACATGGGCTATAGTCTTGGCTTTTCTATGAAAATATCATTTTTTTTTTTGCAAAATAAAAAAGTGCCTTTTTTACCCAATATTAATAGAGAAATATCGGATAGTGCTTATTTCGTCGGAAAATTCAAATCTGAGACATTATACCATTAACCAAAAATATTATGTCCCGTAAAAAGCTAGAAAAAAATTTAACTTTGGATAACTCAGAGTAAAAAGGATTTAAAAGGTGTTGTTTATTT